AAGGGGCAGCACCATGGCGCTTGGGTAGGGATCCCAATTCGTCGGTCACGACGTGATTCGTAGTGACCGACTGAAAGGGAACGTCTCGGTTACGTATGGTAACCCTCGTTCCCTGAAGGAGGGAACGGAGATGTCCTGTCGCCACAGTTGCTGTACCCCCGCTGAGTGGCCGTGTCGCCGGCTCGGCTCCTCAGCGAAAACCTGGTATGCATTGCACCTGCTGCCTTATTATACTCACGCTGTGATCAGCGGCAGCTGGATGCAATAATTGCATGCCAATGTGCATTGGCTCGTTTAGTTTACACTCGAAGTAGACTGGTCTATCGAAGTGATATCCCAATTCGTCGGTCATGACGTGACGTCTCCGTTCCCTCCTTCAGGGAACGAGGGTTACCATACGTAACCGAGACGTTTTTGTTGTTGATGTCGTTTCTTTGGCCGTACACTCCGCGACCCACCAGCTGAGAAACACTGATGTAAATGATGATTTGCACAGATATCTGCTCATCTGTACTGAGACACTGATGATACACTGAACATGAAGAGTTCAGCTCCATGAAAAGATCAAACAGATTCATAATTCCTGATTCTGATGTGTTTTATCTCCATCAGATTCTCATCAGTTCACTCTGGATCTGAACACAGTGAATAAACTCCTCCGTCTGTCTGAGAGCAACAGAGTGATTACTAATACTGACACAGATCAGCCGTATCCTGATCATCCAGACAGATTTCAGTATTATAATCAGGTGTTGTGTAGAGAGAGTGTGTGTGGACGCTGTTACTGGGAGCTGCAGTGGAGTGGAGATAAAGGTGTGGAGATATCAGTGTCATATAAGAGTATCAGCAGGAAGGGTCGGGGTTATGAGTGTGGGTTTGGATTTAATGATCAGTCCTGGAGTTTGTTCTGCTTTCCCTCCAGATACATATTCATACACAATAACACACAGACTGATCTCTCTGTGAAACCCATCAGCAGGAGATTAGGAGTGTTTGTGGATCACAGTGCAGGAACTCTGTCCTTCTACAGCGTCTCTGACACAATGAGCCTCATCCACACAGTCCAGACCACATTCACTCAGACGCTCTATCCTGGGTTTTGGGTTGGTTCCGGATCATCAGTGAAACTGTGTTGATGAATCAGAATAGATATTATTATCAAAACGGTCTTTCAATTCAAAAGATCACACAGTTAATAAATAATTGTCATTATTTACCTTATGTAGCTCCGGCCCATTCCAACGTCTGTGTTCTTCTGTATTCCGGTGTTTTTATTGTCATGCATTTAAATGTTAATTTGTTTTTAATGTTAAGTTACAGCTTGTTAAATAATTAGTGTTAAAAAGTGTAAATGACCATTTTAAACTCTTAAAGCTCATATGTGATTTCATGACATTCAAGGAAAATAGTCTTGTACTTTTTGAGCTTCATTTGTCGCTCCAAACGCTTATTGTATGGAGCTTATAATATGACAAAACTAATTTAATTTGTATTGTGTAAATTATAATTATTGACACGTGTAATTTAACAAAATAATAATTTTAAATAAATTTTATTAAAAAAAATATATATATTATGTGGCATTTAACAGTTCTGAAGTTGATTTTTTTAAACGTGAACATTAAACATTTAACACAACTGAATGTTTTTATTGCAGAGTTTTATAGACATGTATTTTCAAACAGCTAATTTTTTTGTTCTGAAATCTTAGACTGCAAATATCCAGTTTTTTAAAATACAGCAGGAAATTCTGAACATCAAATTCAATCTAAAATTCAATACTCGGGAATTCAGATCGTAGAGAAAGTAGGTCAGAGGCAATCCACGGGGAAGAGTAGACGATCTCCGAAAAGTCAAACGAAGCCTTTTGGCCAATTAGTAGTTTTCTGACGTGAGCGCGTGGTTTAAGATCTACCTGATCATGAATCGCTCGGAGGTAGCCTACGTGACTCTTAAACATTTATGGTTTATATACTTATATGCAGTGGTGTAATGTAATGAAGTAATAATACTTCATTACAGTACTTAAGTATTTTTTGGGAGTATCTGTACTTTACTTGAGTTTTTATATTTTAGCCAACTTTTACTTTTACTCCACTACATTTCCTGATTAAAATGTATACTTTTACTCCGATACATTTCCCCGAAGCATATTAGTTACTTACTACAAAATAGTCAGAAGAACACGGACTGCAGGGAAGCAGGTTTGACGAATCAGTGGTCTGCCGTCTGCAAGTTAGACTCCTAAAAACACATTTGCTCGTGCAAACAAGTGCATGATTAATTTCCTCTCAAGTCGAGTCTGGAGTGTGCGATATACAGTATATCTTCTGCAATAATATGGTAAGTGTTGTTGTAATGATGTGCGATCTGACATTATCAAGTATATCGCTAAATCACAGACACAGAGTGCATGCACGTGATTTATTAGTCTATTAAAATTCAAGGCATTCTAAATTGTAAATGATTCTGTATGCTTTTTAGATTTATATAATTTAATATAGTTAACTTAATCTATGTCACACAAAGAGTGCCGTTTTTCGGCAGATATCAGCATGATAACAAATTTAATAATAATTTTCTGCAAGTTCAGTAAAGTTAGCAATAAGGGACTTACATTTTAGACGTAATATTGCTTGTTTTTGCTCAATTTTGCCAACGATAATAGTTCCTAACAAAGATCACACAGCACTGTTTTGCATCTCTGAGCAATGGACGGTGTTTACTTATTGAATGAATCAGCTTTTTGAATGAATCGGTTGAATAAATGATTCAGTGATTCACTCATTAACAGAGTGAAATGCTTTGTTTCTGAATGAATCAGTCGTTTGAATTAATCGGTTGAATCGCAATGACTCACTCATTAACAGTCACTTGCTGTCACCTACTGGCGGTTTTAATTTCACATTTCGACAATTTTTTTTAATGTTTAAAAATCATTTCACATATCAGTATTCAACGTTTTATGTTAAAAACAAAACATTAGGCCTATTTATGCATCTGTAACTGCAGTTTAAATGCGTCCATGTCCGCTCTGAGATACACAAATTGTGTAAATACATCTAAATGCTATTTCAGATGCAGATTCCAGAAATGTTTTCTTATGTTGGAATGAAAGACACTAAGTACCGGATGAAGTTCTTCTATTCTTACCCAAAAATACAAAATGGAAGAAAGAGTTAAAACTGAACACAATCTTGCTACTCAAGCTGTGTATGGACATTTTTAATATATATTTATTTGCTTCTTTTACATTTTGCATTTACTTGTACTTTTACTTTCAATACTTAAGTACGTTTAAGATATTAAAAATACTTTTCGTACTTAAGTACAATAAATATCACAGACTTTACAACATTTACTTGAGTAATATTCTAAACGGTGACTTCAACTTCTACCAAAGTAATTTTCTGGTAAGATATCTGTACTTTTACTTGAGTACGGCTTTCAGGTACTTTATACACCACTGCTTATATGTTAGGTTAGCATTCTCAGCATGTGAAACATTTGTCTAAGCCAGTGGTTCTCCGCCTTTTTTACTCCAAGGACCCCCTCCTCTCCAAATCAGTACATACTTTGCAAAAGTGTCACTGCAGATATTCTTTACAACTTAAAAGTACGTAAACCTTAATTATACAGTAACTTTAACAAGTAAGCACAAGTCATCTTCATCCTGTTCAAAAGTTTTCACCCCCGGCTCTTAGTGCATCGTGTCTCCTTCTGGAGCATCAGTGAATGTTTGAGCCTTCTGTAATAATTGTGTTTGAGTCCCTCTGTTGTCCTCCGTGTGAAAAGATGGATCTCAAAATCATACAGTCACTGCTGGAAAGGGTTCAAATATGCAAAAGATGCTGGAAAACTGAAGAATATGCAGGAGCTGGAGGATTTTTCTGAAGAACAGAGCTCAGTTTAACTGTTCGGAACAAACAAGGGACTCATGAACATCCATCACTAAACAGAAAAACAGTCGTGGATCATCAGGTAACCACACACTGTATTAAGAACCAAGGGTTCACAAACTTAAAAAAAAAATACAAAGCCGTAAAGTCCTGTCTGGTGTGTCTGGAGTCTTACTGTCAAGCTCATTTTGAGCGTTCTAGGAACTATGAAATGGTTCCTCCGGTGTGAAAGCGCCTATAGTGTATGTGGTGAATACTAGAATCTGTAGCTCTAATGTGATTTAATGAATATGAGGAGAATGAAGCTGATGCTGTGAAAGTGCTGGATTGAGGTGAGTTACTAAAGATCAGTCGAGTCAAATCTGATGTTCCTGCAGGTTATTGAGTGAAGTGTGGAGCTGATGAGTTTGATTTCTGTTTTCTGTAGAGTTTCCAGTCTCTCTCAGCACCTCCTGAATCTACAGATGTAAATGATGATCTCTTCAGTTCTCTCGTCTCTTTTGATGCTCTGAGAGAATCTGTTCATCAACTGAGAGACAAACTGGAGGATTTCTGCAAAGAGGAGCTCAAGAAGATCTCAGACAGAGGTAAAGTCCTGCAGATTCATCTGCTCTCAGAAACCAGTCCATCATCAGCTCATATCATGGAGAACATCATATTAGAAATGTCTTAGGAATAGATGCAGGATCATGAGAATCACGCTGTTCATGTCTGTTGATTTCCACAGAAACACTCACCAACATTGTTCTCTGGACCAGGAACGACTTCCTACAATGCAAGTCAGTAAGAAAACCAGCAGAAAACTCACTGAGTGTGTTCATGTTCTTCTGTAGAAGCTGAAAGAAGAGTTTATAATTGATGATGTAAATGATGATTTATCATAGGATATCTGCTCATCTGTACTGAGACACTAGCTAGATTTACATGGACACGTTTTGCTTCCATCGGAATGAATTAATTCTGATTGACAAAACCGAACTTAATGTTTACACGAATGCCAAAATAAGTGTTGATATGTGCGTTTATGTGTCACAAGCCTCTGATCGGATTTAATCTTTTGACATGTGCAGACTGCATGAAAATACAGAGTTTCCCGCTGTTGTCGCATACTGCACACTTGATATTTATCTATATCTATATCTACTTCTGGTCCTAATTAGGCAACGACCAGCACATGAACTGTTGCGCTGTGCTGCTTACTTTAGAAATCAGTAAAAGAGCCCCTTCTCGCACCAAAAACCATTCGTCTGTGGATGAGAGTCTTAAACAAGGACTGCTGGGACATTGTCCTGCTCCACTTCACAGATGCTGAATGAAAGCAGAATTTTAGAATGACTGGACACTCATTTATGACACTTTATTCACCAAAGAGCAGCTCGTTCCGCACCTCATATGTCATTACGTTATTTTTACGTCACTTCATATGCGCAGAATTTTCCAGTTTCGGTTTTCAATCCAATCAAGTGTTTACATGTCCTCTCGCCCAGATTACAAAAGTAATAAACCACCCCTTACAATCCAATGAAAGATTGGATCTGGCCAATTCAATCCGATTGACGTGGTTACATGTGACTTTTTTTATTCCGATTGTGCTTCTAGTCCTATTACGATCGGATTATCAGCATCCATGTAAACGCAGCTACTGATGACACACTGAACTTCACGAGTTCACACTTACTTATAATGAACCGAGTAAAGTTTATGCGTATTTGGCGTG